GCCCGGGGACAGCACACTATCCCACCGATGTTTACTGAGCGCCCATGACGTGCCAGGTCCTAGGAGGTGCTAGGCTGGCCCAGGGGCCAGCAGGCAGCACGGCGGAGGCGAGGTCATCTCCGCACACCTGACTGTCTGGTCCTCGAGGTGACTTTGCCGCAGGCCACCCAGGGTGAGCTATGAGCACTGGAAAAACCGTGTCCTTCGAGGTGGGGGAACAGGAGCCGAGTTGCAAGGTGACAGGGAGGACGGCAAACGCACGGCTCCGGGCGGGGGGTGTTCCTTGCTCTCACCTCTCCCTCTGTCTTATTTCGCTCCCAAGGTGCTTTTCTCTTTTGCTGTCTCCGCTGAGATTTCTGGCCAATGTCTACCAACGGGTCCATTCAGCTTGTTTGTTGAATTGTAACTAACAACACTGTAGGGAAGAAGGACTTGTGTTTTTTCAAACAATGGTTGTGTTGGCTCTGATTGCTCAATTGCAAATTTACTTCCATTATCGTGGTTAGTTCATCAGAAATGTCGTCCATTCCGGAGGTCCTTTCCGCAGGGCAGGTAGAAGGACAACAGGCAGAAAGCCACCGTGAATAACGCAAGGAAGGCCGGTGTAGCCTGGCCGGTGTGGCTCAGCGGTTAGCGCGTCGGCCCACAGACCAGTGAGCTGCAGGTTTGATTCCGGTCAAGGGCACGCACCTCGGTTGCGATTGGCCCCCAGCCCTGACTGAGGTCATGCGGGAGGCACCCGTGGATGTGTCTCTTTCACATCGATGCTTCTCTCTCGCTCCTCGCCCCACTCTATCAGAACAAAAATGGAAAAATATCCTCGAGTGAGTGAAATGACTATTTTCCCCATCCCTAGGTTAGACTCTAGAAAACAGTTTCCGCCCCTGTTAAGTAAATGCCTGTCATAGGCGGTTCCTTAAAAAATGAAACCTAATTTGAACCCTCAGGCCTGCAGGTGATGGGGAAAGTCTTGGCTTATTCCAGCAGGGGGAGCCCCCAAGTCTCCTGGTACCAGGGGTCTGCAGGGGCGCCACGTGGGTGGAGCAAGGGGACAAGGAGAACTGGGGAAAGTCTCTTCCCTCCAGGGGCTCACGCACAGCGGGGGGCTGGGAGAGGGTGGGAATGTGGCGTTTATGAATCAAATCAGGTCACAGGGACACGGCGGTGATACTCCAGGGCTGGACAAACCCACCAACGTGACAGCTTGGTGTCTGCGTGTCCGATGCTCACGGGGGCGCTCCGTGGGCTAGGCGCTCACCCGTGGAGAAGAGGCATGATGTGCGAGAGCAAATGAGAGACCAGAATGAGGGAGGATCACGTACATTTCACAGACACGGTACTAAGGAAGGTTGAGCGCCCGGGGGCAACGCGCCATCCGGCACAGTCACGCGGGGCCTGAACCTGCCACTGGGCTTGGAGGCCTTTCGAAGGCAGAACACATGCGTGCTCACCTGTATGACCTGTCTTCCACGTTGCGCTCCATCCCCTGCAAAAGAGCTGTTTCTGCTTTAATCCCCCTTCCTACTGGGAGCTTCCTACTTTCCCCCGATCTCTGCCCCTTCACGCTCTAGATGAAGGATGGCTGCTCCCTCCCCTCCTCTCGTCCCTGTTCCCGGACAGAGTCCCCCTCGCCTGCCCATCTCGGATCAGGCCCTTTCGGAGACTGGGATGTTCTTCTCTGTTTTCTCTCTGCAAAAACCTGGACTCGGCCGGGCTCTAATCATCGTGTCCCCCAGACACTCGCGTTTTCCTCCGTATTCCTAGATCTGCAGGTATCTTTGGGTCACCCCGTGTTTAACCTCATCTTCACCCCTCTTTCCTTTCTCCAAATCTGCCAGGCGGGGGCTGCGGGAGCTGCATTTTCCCTTCACGTCCAGCCTCCATCGGGTCTTCCGCCGGTGGGCAGCAGATCGAGCCCAGCTTTCCTTCTGGCCTGACGCTCGGCCAGCAAGAGCAGCTGACGACACACCTCGGGAATGCTCTGCTGATGCACGGTCTGCTGCCCTCACCCCCGCAGCACAGACATCTGGACGTCTGAGCTCCCTGAGCGCCCTCCGCACGCGGCGTCCCTTCCTGCTCCGCCCGTCTTGCCGGTCGACCGCCGTTACTCTCTGACGTTTCCTGAGACCCCAGCCAAGAGTATGTCAGTGTTCCTCTCTGCCAGGTGCCGGGCTGTGCCACGTGCCCGGGAGGAATGTTCTCCAGGTGCTGGAGATCAGAGGACGCTGAGGCTCAGACCCTGCAGAGTCGGTCATGGAGACGGAGCCCTCTGTGCGGGAGGAACCAGGGACCCTGAGAGTTTACCTGAGCGTTTGGGGGGCACCCCTGGGAAGAAGGGTGGGAAGTTGTGACCAGCTGAGGGGCACGGCCAAGTGCAGCAGGCTCCTCTGTCCTACCTGGCTGGGACTCTTTGTCTTCCCAGTTAATTAGTTCATTAGTTAACACCTGGGAAGTTAATCAGTTAATGTCACTGGTTTGTAAATTGTTTTATTTTTTGGAAAAAGGAGCTAATAGGAATACCTTGGAGGCTCCCCCTTTCTCTTTACCAACCAAGAATTTGACGTCCTGGTGAAAATCACCTGAAAAGTATCAGACCAATCTGGGTGCCTCCATTTAGGCCCCAGCTGTGTTGATTGTTTAAAACTTCTTCAAGAACGTGTGGAAGTTGGGTGGAGGGGCCTGTTCGTTTCGGAGCGTCCCAGCCCCCATCTGCTCTCTTCCTGGCTGAAACTCACTGGTTTTCCTTGGTGTGCTCTCCTCTCCCCTGTGGCCCTGGGGCTGAGTGTGGGCCACCCTCAGCCTGGCCCAGCCGGTGGGCACATAACATGTTAAACCAGAGCACTGTACCCACCACTGGCCACTACAATCGTTTCAGGGTGACCTATGACCCAATCAAGACAATACGATGCATTATGGGGACCTTTGCTGATCCTGAAAAAGGGGTCCTCATCCTTCTCCTTGCTGCCTGAGGATATAGGCCTAGAGGTGCCCGCAGCCCCTTTGTCTCCACTAAAATAAACTGTGCCTGAGAATGCAGCCATCACAGAAGGTAGATGGAGAGAGACTGGGCTCTGAGCGAATCAGCTAAGCCCTGGATCCAACCATGCCTGAAGCCATCCTCGACTTTTCAGCAGCATGAGTCTACCTCCATGTTTGGTTTGCCTTTAAGCCAGTTTGAACTAGCTCTTTTGTTCTCTGCACACAGTGACCTTCATGTTAACTCAAAGGCTGGAAATACCTGGACTTCAAGAACAAACAGGTCCTCTGCAGGGGTAGGGGACCATGCTGTCCCGGTGCGTGTGGTCCCTGCCACCAAGGCCTTGCATGTCCACGCTGGAGCAGTGTAGCTTCCTTTGCATGGGATGAACCAAGAAGCACTATTGCATAAACAAACACTACCCTTCCCCCACCCGCCAAGACAACGGCCCCGGTTCAGGAGACTAAGAGGCTGGTGGTCTCCCCACTGGCTGCTCACTCGAGGTCAGACACAGGGCTGAGCTTTCCTATAGGTCATTCGTTTACTTTCAAAACCACCATTTTTAACCAAGAAAATGGGGCTCAGAGAGGTCCAGTGACTCATCCACTGTCACACAGCCAGTTCACTGCGTGGGCCGTCATGCCTCAGGGAGAGAACGCCCATCTGTCGGTTCCAGATCATCCATTCGGGGCTAATGCCTTTGTCCCAGAACCCACCAGCTCTGACCCCATTCTGTTCCTCTCTGAGCCCTGGTGTTCCATGACTGCTGAGCCTGACTCATACGTGTGGTGCACTGTGTGCGCTTGTGTGTGCAGTGCGTGTATTGTGTGTGCACTGTGTGCGCTTGTGTGTGCAGTGTGTATTATGTATTTTTGTGTGTGCTTATGTGTGGACTGTGTGTGTTTGTGTGTAGACTGTGTGTGTTGCGTGTGTATTGTGTGCAGTGTGTGTGCTTGTGTGCACTGTGTTGTGTGTGCACTGTGTGTATTGTGTGCAGTGCATGCGCTTGGGTGCACTGTGTGTTGTGTGTGCACTGTGTGTATTGTGTGCAGTGCATGCGCTTGGGTGCACTGTGTGTGCAGTGTGTTGTGTGTGCACTGTGTGTTGTGTGTGCACTGTGTGTATTGTGTACAGTGCATGCGCTTGTGTGCACTGTGTGCTGTGTGTGCAGTGTGTTGTGTGTGCACTGTGTATATTGTGTGTAGTGCATGCGCTTGGGTGCACTATGTGTGCTGTGTGTGCAGTGTGTTGTGTGTGCACTGTGTGTGCACAGTGTTTTGTATGTACACTGTGTGTTGTGTGTGGAGGCTCCTTCTCCACAACCCTCACACAACCCCGAAGCTGTGGCCGTCACCGCTGACGCACGGGAGGCAGCCCCGCCTTGCGCTCAGGCTGGCCCGCCCCCCACAGACCACGCTCTGGTGCGTGGCCAGGGCAGAGCAGGACCCCGAGGAGGCAAGCTGCTGGCCCACAAGCTCAGTCGGTCAATCCAGTGAGGAGGCTGAGGCAGCTGGAAATTTGTCAGACAAACTGGTTTTCCTGGGAAGCACAAGAGAGCAGGTTGGCTCGTCCGGCGTTGTGTCACAGCCTTGTCGCAAAGGCCCTGCAGCCTGTTCTCATTCCGCACGGCTGGGCCTGGGTCACGTGAGTTCCTTCACTTTGTCTCCTAATAAGAAGGCCCCTTTGTCAAGCAAGCAGCTTAAATGCTATTTACTGTCCTATCTTTTATCACCAGGACTTGTGAAGCATCGGGGTGCCGTGAGTGAAAGGCATTCATAAACTCTTGGATGCTGAACCTCAGCCGTGTAGCCACCGCCCACCAACCAGGCGGGGTGAGCGCGGACAGAGGCGCCCAGAGAGGAGCCGAGACGGGCAGCAGGCTCCTCGGGCCGCCCGGTGAGGCCCCGTCTGACAGGGGAGGGGAGGCCACCAGTCGCTCGGTGCGTGAGATCGAGCAGGACAAGAAGGAGGTGGCCTGCATCGCTGTGCACGAGGCCAGGGCCTCCCTGTCGTGATCACTTACCTGAGACCCGAACAAGTGCTGAGACTGACCATCGAGCCGGGGTCTCCGCGCACACGCCCGTGGTAGTAACAATGACCCTGGAAGGACAAAGACAGCTCAGTCACGACACCCTCTCGCCCACGCGCAACGCACACCTGCCTCTGCCCGTCTTCATGCGTTTCTAACTGTAGAATTCCTTTCCGCATAGAGTAGTAAGCAAAAAGTCTTCAAAAAAATTTTTTTCTTTATTGATTTTAGAGAGAGAAGAAGGGAGAGAGAGAGAGAAAGAAACATCGATGAGAGAGAACAGCGACTGGCCGCCTCCTGCATGCCCCCCACTGGGGATTGAGCCCACAACCTGGGCATGTGCCCCGACCGGGAATCGAACCAGTGACCTCTGGGTGCATGAGCCGACACTCAACCACTGAGCCACACGGGCCGGGCATTAAGCGAGGAGTCCTAGTATTAAATTCCAAGCCCAATGCCTCTGTGGCTGTCCTGTTCCACGCATTCCTTTTTCACGTACGTGGAATCATACGGGCCGTGGCCGTTTGCGTGGCTCCGTTCCCTGAGCATCAGGAGTCCAGTGCTTGAGTCCTTCTCATCACCGAGTAAGACCACCTCGTACGGCCGCACCAAACTTGTTTCTCCGCTCATCAGACGAGGGCATTTGGCTGTTCCACTTTTGGGCTGTTATAAATAATGCTTCTGTGAACATGTGTGCACTCACTTTTGGATGGACACGTGTGTTCTGTTCTCTGGGTCCACGCTGTGAGTGGGTACATGGTTATACACCCACAGGTGGAGCCGCTGGACCATATGGTACCTGAGTGTGTAAATTCTGTCCACCCGGTTTCCCGAGCAGCGGAACCGGTTCACAGCGCAGGGCATGGAGGGTTCCCAGTTCTCCACATCCTCACCCAGACTTACATGTCCTTTGATCATTCCCCTTCCTAATGGGAGGCAGCATCTCACTGCGGTTTGGATGTTCATTTGCCTCATGACTAATGACATTGAACATCTTCTCTCATGCTTATTGGCCATGTGTCTATCTTCTCTGGAGAAATGTTGATTCACATCCTTTGCCTATGTTTGACTTGGGTTATTGCCTTTTCATTTTGAGTTGGAAGCATTATTGATGTAATGAGAAGGGTCTGAACACCAGACCCTTATCTGATAGGTGACTTGCAAGGGTTTCTCCCATGTCGTGGGTTGTCTTTTAACTTTCTTGAGCGTGATTTCGAAGCACAAATGTGAATTGTTTTGCTAAGGTCCAAGCAATCCATTGTTTTGCTCATGCGTCCGGCATCGTGTCTGAGAACCCATTACCTAACCTGAGGTGATGAAGACGTGTGCCTTTCTTTTCAGAGTTTTCTAGGTTTAGTTCTCATGTTGAGAGCCCTATTCCACTTGGAATTAATTTTTGGCTTGAAGCAGGAGTCCGATTTCATTCTTCTGCGTGTACATATCCAGGCCTCGCAGAACCGCTGGTTAAAAGGCTCCTTTCCCCCGTTTTTTTTGGTAAATTTGCTGAGAGCAAATTCTCTTTTGGTATTTTTCTTCTTTTTCCCCAAAAGCTTCTAGGCTATTATCGCCTATTTTCTCTTTCTGGTGAATCTTAGAATCAAATTTTAAGCTCTGTAATAATCCACTGAGATCTCCATTTGGGCTACATTGAATGTATAGGTCAGTTTAGTAAGAATTTGTAGTCTTACAATAATTTTCCTGTTCATGTACACAGTATGGCTCATTTCATGAGGCTGTTTTTATGTCTTTCAGTCCAGTCTGAGATTTTTTTTTTTTCCATACGGCTTTGGGAAAGTTTTTCATTAGGCTTAATCCTAGGAGTTGCATGGGTTTGTTAATACCACGAGTAGGACCTTTTTCCCTATTATGTCTTACGCATGGGTGTTTTTAATGCAAGAACAGCTCTTGATTTAAAGGTTTATCTGGTATCAGACTCTCTGCAGAACCATCCTATCAGCCTCATAGTTTGCAGCGAATCTTGGAGTTTTGTGCTATTGATCGTGTCAACGACAAGCGATGAGTGTTGGGGCTCCTTTCGGACCCCTACGCAGTGAGGGGAGTGGCAGGCTGGGGTCAGGGCTGAGGTGGCAGAGGGAACGGCCCCGTGGGCACAGACCGTGGGGCGGGGCACAGGGGCTCTGGCTGCTCAGCGGTGGGGTTTGTTCTGCTTGGCTGGAAGATTCAGGAAGAACACGGCACTACAGTGCCCGTCTGCCCCCGGCCAGGGCGTCCACTCCAATGAGCACGTGGCACAGGACAGAAAGCACGAGGAAGGGAGGTGAGGAACACTGCCCGGCCCGGCCAGCAGGCGTCCAGCCAGGCCGCGGGGGGCCTGCTGCCAGCTCCCCTCCGGGCAGCCACGTGAACTAACTTTTGAAAGCTCCACTCTCTCTAGATAACTCCGGCTTGGGTGCTCCCGGGAGGCATGATAACAGTTCTCTAAACAGGGACCAGGCAGCTGGGTCAAAAGGCTCCGGGTCCCCTCTGTGCCAGGAGGAGAAGGGTCAATCCTGTTCCTCCGCAGGAGGGTCAGAGCTGAGACACCCAGACAGCAGGACAGTAATGACGTTGTGGTTTAGGCTGCCTAGGGTCACCAGGATCACTAAGTCTTAACCGTCATACGTCTCTGGGAATCCCATACACTACAGAATTTGCCTCCTTTTAGAGAAATAGGAAATGTTGTTATAGGCAGCAAAGTATTGCTCAAAAAAGTTAAAACCCAAATGGGTGAGCATAATCTTATTTACTGATCTCCCAAAACTTCAGCATCATTTATTCTCAGTCTCAATTTATTTTCAAGAGCTCATTTATCAAGGGCACTTTCGAATGAACTACCTAGAAATATGAGCTCACTAAAACCTGAGCAGAGAGCACATTAGGATAAAACTAATTTCAACTCGATAACTAGGTCGAAGCGTCGCTCGCGCCTGGGTCGATGCTCCACCACGGAGCCACACGGGCCAGGCACGAAGCGTCGCTTGTGAAGGAGGGGATTTCAGCTCTGTCACCGGGTCCGCAACACCCCGCTCGGAGCCATCCCCAGAGTTTAACAATTTGTTTCTTAGCCCTGAAGCTCCTTTGGTGTCCGCTTCGGCCGGCAGACTGACCAGCCCATGGCTGACTCCTGACCAGTCTAAGAAGTTACGGACTCCTTCGATGACCGAGCATGGTCACCGGAACTCCAATTCCAGGACGGTTTGTTTCACGGATTTTTATTTTTTCAGTATGAGTCACTAAATGTTTAAACAAACACAATTCCATTTTTACGATGTAGTCATTAATCATGTCAAGTCACAACTCAGAAAGACATCCTCCTCACCCAGCGTGCCACCTTGTCGGTGGGGAGTGAAGGTGAACCCTCCTCCTCCTCCCTCTGGGGGTATGGCGCCCTCTGGTGGTGGCGGAGGCAGGGGCACAATGCCAGGTAGTGTCACCACATTGGCAGCAGGCCAAGGGGCATCCCCACACCTGAAGGTCAGGTGCCTCCCACGGACTGATGCTAAGAGGCAGGGACCTGCCAGGCCTCCCTCAACATTGGCCTCTTGAAGCCACACCTGTGAGAGACACAGCAGGCATCCATCCTGACCCACAGGTTGATGACCACGCCAAGGACCCTTGCACGCTCTCCCAAGCTGCGTCCCTTCCCGCTGCCTTGAGAGAGCCGACTGTCCTGTCTGCATCGAGACCTCGGGCTGGCACCGACGTCGTCCCCAGTTCTGCTGATCCGGTGCATTCTATTTCTCCCAACAAAACATAACCCAGAAATAGCCCCAAACACGCACAGCCACAAAATTACATCTTTCCCTTTACAAAACCTCTAACCATGTATTTTATGTATGTATCACTTAACCTAATGCATGTCCCCACTCCAGTAAAATAAATTCTCCTTCTGTTTAATACTATCCGTCAAACAGAACGGGGGGTCGAGAGGGAGATGGAGTGAGGACGCTTGAGCTTGGGGACAGTCGCCCTGCGGTCTGCGCCAACGGGAGGGAAATCACGCTGTTACCCCACGCTCAGGACCAGAGGCAGGAACCTTCCACGCAGGACTGCTAACAGGAGCGTCTGACCTGGTGATCACAAAGGACAGGAAGCAGACGGAGCCTGTCAGGCCTGTGCTGAGCGACATTACCCTCATGCTTTACCCCTGGGAACTCTGCGGCGTCCCCCCGACCGTGCGGGGGGTGCCAACAGGCTGGATTTATGCTTTGAATCACACACCGTTCTGGCGGGAAGGAAGCTGCAGGCCGGCTGAAGCCACCCTGCCCCCTCCAGCTGCCCAGTCCCTGAGCAGACGTGGAAACTGAGGCCTGGCTGGTTTGGTGACTAAGCCACAGAGTTGGCCAGCGGCCGGGTGGCGTCCAGTGTCTAGGCCTGTGGGCCGCAGGCCAGACGGCTCCCTCCATATCTTGCTACTTTGAACATGTGGCCATATGAGTCTTTGAAGAGAAAAGCTGTCTGAGAACCCAGACTTGGCAGAATGTGTCCTCAAGGACAGCGTCGCTCAGGGACTCCTAGGACGGGGACCCCGTTTACAAATTCAGAAAGGTCTGCAGATAGGAGTACGAGGGTGAGCGTGTACGTGTGTGTGTCTGAGCACGTGTGTGCATGTATCCATGCACAAGCATGTGAGTACACATGTGCATGTGTGTGTATGGGTACACATGTGTGGAAGCATTGCGTGAGCACGTGTGAGTGTGTGTGCATATGTGTGCATGTGTCTGTGTGGAAGCAAGTGTGTTCATGTGCCTGTGTGTGTGTGTGCATGTGTGCATGCCAGCTGACCTACATTTCAGCACGGCTGTGGCCCAGTTTTTGTCCTTTGTACGGAACATCAGGTGCCCACACAGCACGTGTTTGCTTGAGACTAGGACATGGAACAGTGCATTCACGGCAAGAGTGACTGTGCAGCCATGCCTTTCTGTGACCGGCTACATCATGCTAGCCCTGAGAGTGGACAGGACAGGGTCTGAAGAACAGTCGCCACACCCAGGCCCCCAGGGCTGCTCTGCTCTACCCAGAACCATGCCCAGTGAAAGACATGAGAGGACCAAGCTCCGGGGCCAGCACA